CATCTCGATCTGCCCGGATCTCAAGGCCTCGATCGCACGGGGTACCGCAGGCCCCCGGCGCCTCCCAGTCTGGCCCCCGACGCCGCGCTCCGCAGGCGAGCCGCGGCGTCGCACGAGCGGCGCCAGCGCGCCCTCGACAGCTCCACGCCCGTGGCGTCGAGGCCCAGCAGCCAGGCCAGGGCGGGGATCTTACCCCAGCCGCTGCCGAGGTCGTAGAGCACCATGCCGGGGCTCGCCCCGACGTGCTGCAACATGGCGATGACGGCCACGGGCAGCAGCTCCCCGTACGTGCCCATCTCCAGGCTCACGTCGGCGCCCGAATAGTCCTCCGCCAGGTCCTCGTCCGAAAGATTGTCCGTGTCCTGCAAGGGGGTCCAAAGCGCTGCGGTGACAGACCGTGCGGCGACCTCGGAATCCCCAAAGACCTCACCGACGGTCCGTCGTCGAGCGGTTTGGGGCCCTGGACCTTGGAGGTCCCAGGCTGCCCGAAAAATCCTCGGAGAGCGACCCAAGTGTCGAAACCGTGCGGTCACCCCGCAACCCCACTGACTCACCAAACGGTGTGGTCACCGCATCGCTTGGGGGCCCCCGATCCTCGTCCGCCCTGTGGCCATAGGCGGCCTGCAGCACGGACAGCGCCCGCCGGGCCGTCGCGTTGGACTGTACCTCGCAGTGCGGGCAACCCTCCTCGTGGGGACTGGGCAGCCACGCGATCGCCGCGTCGACCAGGCGGTCGGCCACCGCCGCGGCGACCACGTAGACCGTCGCGGCCGGCCCGGCCAGCAGAAGGCCTGCGATGCCGAGCGGCCGAGAGGCCGCCCAAGGCGCAAGGTGCCACCAGCCGCCGCGGCCGCGGGGCGCCTGGTCGCCAGCGGCAAGGTGCAGGCTCAGCCTGCCGTCGGGGCCTGGACGAGGATGAGGAGGATGAGGAGGAGGAGGAGAAGGAGGAGGAGGAGGAGGAGGAGGAGGAGAAGGAGGAGGAGGAGGAGGAGGAGGTGAGGGAAGGGAGGAGGAGGAGGGGGAGGAGGGGTGGCGGCGGGCCGCCGCCGGGGCACCCCTCCAGCGCGCGATCTCGAGGACGGCCCTTGCCCGCGCCGCGCCCCTCGGCCGCGCCGCGCCCCTTGCCGGCGCCGCGCCCCTTGCCGGCGCCGCGCCCCTTGCCGGCGCCCGGCGCGTCCTCCGTCCCCGCGCTGCCGCCCCCCTCGCCACCGCGAGGCGCGCGCCGCTGGATCTGGTAGAAGGTCAGCTCGTCGCCCTCGGCGCCCCAGGTGGTGTGCATCGCCACCTCTCGGCTACACGCAAGAGTGACCCTGGGTACGAGTGGCCTCTGGTGCGCGGCTTCTGGGGGACGCGCGGGGGCCAATCTCAAGCGCGCAAGCCGCTGCTGTCGCACCGCATTCGGCGCGATCGGGGGGGCTCCATGGGCCCGCACCAAAGGCCACTCCAGCGAGGCGTCACTCTTACGTGCAATCGAACCTCCCCCTGCGCGTGCAGGTGGTCGCCGGGCACCCCCTGCCAGGACACCACCAGGGCGCCCGGGCGCATGCGCCGCGTGGCCACCCCGAGCTGGCGCATGACCTCGTCGGTCCACAGCAAGGAGTTCGTGAACACGATGCTCTCGGGGGATGGCCAGTGGAATCCGCGAGGGCTCTCCCGCCTGGCCCGAACCCTCCCACAGTCGCCCCACCCCCCCAGACCCCTCCCGGCGTTTACCCTGGCCCGTTTTACGAGGCTGATCTGGCCGCGGCAGCGGCGAGACCTCCAGGAGGACCCCCCAAAAAACGAACAGCGTGAGGGGGGGAGCGCCGCCGCTGTCTCAGCTCGCCCTCCTCCGAGATGTCCGCGTCCGAGAGGTCCACTTCGAGGAAGCTGCCGCGCAGGAAGGAGAGGCTGCCGTTGGCACGGCGCGCGGCGCCGCGCCCGTCCGCCAGGGCACCAGCGGCAGCACACGCCTTGGCCCAACGCCTTCTTGACAGCTCCACGCCCGTGGCCCTGACCAGCGGGGCGCGCAAAGAGGTTGGCGCGGAGGGACAGCCTTCTGGGAAGGCCTCGGAGCTACTTCGAAAGGCGCAGGGGCTTCCAACAGATAAGGAAACAATGGGAACTCTTGGAGGCCTGGCGGCTCTGGCGCCATCCTTGGTGAGCTCCGCGCGCCAGGGAGGGGCTGCAGCGCCGATCCAAGAAATCTGCGGGGACCCTCCGACCGTTGAACAAGTGTCTGCTGTCTTCTCTCCTCTGCGATCCAAGAAGGATTCCCAGAAGGCAGCGGGGACTACCCCTCGCGCCTTGTTAAATGGCCGCCCCTTCACTTCGCCCACCTCTGCGCGCCGCCGACCTCAACTCCCGCAGCGCCATCGCTGCCGACACCGCTAATCACTTCCCGGACATCGCCGGGGGGGCGCTCTGACCAGGACCCCGAGGCGACGCAGGCCCTGGCCACGAGGGCCCCACGTCGGCGACACGCTTTTCTAGAGGCCTACCAGACGGGGTCCGAGTAGATGGGGTCGGAGGATCGCGGCGCATCGCTGATGCATCGACGATGCATTGGCGACGTGGGCAGTGCATCGGCGACACTGGCGCGGATAAAATCGGACGCCACATCGAGCTGCATCGCCGATGTATCGGCGATGCTGATGCGGTGCGATCCTCCGACCACATTTGTACCGCCCCAACCCAGGAGGCCCAACTTTCTCCCCCTGACCTCAGCCCCATCAGCGCCGCTGCCGCCGCGACCTTTCCCCAACCGCTCCCCAGGTCGTAGAAGACCTGCCCTGGGCGCGCCCTGGCGTGCCGCAGCATCGCAAGGGCCGCCTGCGGCGTGATCTCGCCGTATACCAGGGGAAGGAAAAATGACGTAAACATAAAAACTCGGAGGTCCGCGCGGATTTCTTGGATCCGCGCCGGACCCCCCTCCCTAGCGCGCGGAGCGCGCCAGGGGCGGCGCTGGAGGCGCCGCCAGGGGGCCCCAGCGCGGATCCGAGAAATCCGCGCGGGCCTCCGAGTTTTTATGTTTATGTCATTGTCTGTTTCCCCATATACGCCCATGCTCGCGTCGAGCCCGGCGTCCTGGAAGTCGTCGGCCACGTCCGCCGTCCACGCCTCGGCCTCGTCGGCCAGGCGGACCAAGCGAGGATCCAGGTCCCAGATTTTGGGGTGCCTCGGGTCCCATCCTCCTCCTCCTCCTCCTCCGCCTCCTCCTCCTCCGCCTCCTCCTCCCGCTCCTCCTCCCGCTCCTCCTCCTCCCGCTCCTCCTCCTCCTTCTCCTCCTCCTTCCTCCTCCTCCTCCTCCTCCTCCTCCTCCTTCTCCTCCTCCTCCTCCTCCTCCACCTCCTCCTCCGCCTCCTCCTCCTCCTCCTTCCCCCCCTCCTCCTCCGCCCCTTCGTACTCCTCGTCCTTCTGTGGGCGTCCTGGGACGCCCCAGTGGCCACGGCCAGAACCGCCTCGAAGCTGTGGTCAGGACCCGCCCTAGAAAAGGCCCCAGGGGGGGGGTCGATGCAGAAGCCAAGCACGAGGCACTGCAAACCAACTCGCGCCCGCTGGCAGAACTTGTTCCAGAAGCATGCGCCCACGGAGTCTGCCTTTGTGGTTCCCTCGGCCTGTTTGCTGGCGCGTTCGGTTAGGAGCTTTTGGGAAAAAGCGAGTCTGAATATGAGCGAGTCTGCATGCGAGCGGCTGAGTATGAGTGAATCTGGGCGCGGCTGAGCCTGAGAATGTGAGGATAGGTGCGAGAGACTATGAGTATGGCCATGCTTGAGTACGAGCTAGTCTGGGTATGAACGAATCTGGGTGCGAATGAGTCGGAATGAGAATGGGCCTGAATGTGAGTGACCGAAATCCGCCGACCTTGTCGGCGTGTGCGAGGGGCTTGTCTGTTCGAGTCGTCGTCTCTGTGGCCCCCGGGGTCGCCAAAATTACCAAGGGAGGCCAAGAGTGCCCTAAGAAGCCCCCGAGACGGCCAAGGAGGCGCTCAATCGCCAAACGATCGGTCCAAAACGCCTTCACGCCCTCCAGACGGCCCAGGAGACCTCCACGAGGCCCCAAGAGGCCTTCAAGAGCACTCCCGAGAGGGCCCCAAGAGGCAAAATGTATTGTTTTTTTTCCCTACCTAGGCTCTGCCTAGAAGGATTCTTATCCTGTGTGCTTAAAGGGCCGGGCAATGGAAACCGCCCGGGGCGGTTCCCCCGGCATCGGCCCCTCGGTTCCTCCAGTTACGTCCCCTTAACTTGGCGTTGCTTATCTCATCTTAGTTTAGCTTATTTCATCTTAGCTTAGCTTAGCGTCATCTTAGCTCAGGTTTATCTTAGCTTAGCTTACCTTCATCTTAGCTTCGCTGAGCTTTAGCATAGCAGAGCACAGCATAGCATTTCAGAGCATAGCCCAACATAGCATAGCATAGCGCAGCATAGCATAGCGCAGCGCAGCACAGCACAGCATAGCACAGCGCAGCATAGCATAGCATAGCGGAGCATAGCAGCAAAGCAAAGGTAAAGCAACAGCAGCGACAGCAAAGCAAAGCACAAGCAACGCAAAACAAAGCAAAGCAAAAGCAACAACAAAAGCAAAGGAACGGCAAAGCAAAAACAATGTGCGACAGATGCCGAGCTAGCCTCGATGGCCGAACTGGAGCTCCCGGACCGGATGGGTGTAATTCCCTACCTAGGCTCTGCCTAGAGGGTTAGCTTAGCTTAGCGTAGCATAGCGCAGCGCTGCATTAGTATAGCATAGCATAGCATAGCCAAGCATAGCATAGCATAACATAGCATAGCGCAGCATATCAGAGCATAGCATAGCATAGCGCAGCTTAGCATATTATAGCATCGCATAGCTTAGCATAGCACAGCATGACATATCATAGCATAGCTTAGCATAGCATAACGCAGCATACCATAGCATAGCATAGCATAACATAGCGCAGCATGGCATGGCATAACATAGCATAGCAACTAATGCTGCTTTCCTAGATGCTCCAACTTCTAGGTAGGGTCGCACTGGGGTAATTTGTAATTATTCGAAAGATGTTAGGCGTTCTCGTCTTTTCCGCTCCCCGCCGTTCCAGGGCAGACCCGAACGAACATTTCGAGCCCTCGGCCCCGAGAAGCTCAGAGGGGGCCCCAAGAGGTTCCCAAAACGCCCCCCAGAGGCCCCTGGTAGCTTTCCCAAGGGACCCCAAGAAGCATCCCTGAGGACTCTGGCCCGCGTCAACGTCGTCGTCGTCGCCGCCGCCGCCGTCGGTGTCGTCCCCCTTCAGGGTCGGCGGCACCTGCCGTAAGGCCTTCGCAATACAGTGGCTCAGTCTAACGGGGTCTGGGTACAGTAAAAGCGCGACCACAAGGAACCTTCCACAAGAAACCCAACCCTGAGACCCCATGACGTCCGTTGATTTTTGGTGTGGGAGCGTCACGCTTTCCATAGCAAAACCATCGAAACCCGAAACCCAGGGCACCTGGAGGCGAGCAGGGTGATTCCTGGCATGAGCCTCCACTGTATGAGTGGCTGTGTGTGGTAATGGGTACGACTGTGAGTTTGTCTGTGTTTGGGCACCTGGATGTGAATGGGTCTGGGTGCGAGTGAGCCTAAGTCAGTCTGGATGAATATGAGCGAGTCTGGGCATGTCTTGAATGTGAACGGATCGTGCAATGAGTAAGTCTGGCCATGAATGGAGATCCCTCTATCTAGGCACGACAAGTGCCGATGTCATACATGCCCTCTGGCGGCTCCCTTTTGGGATGCCCAATTGCGATGCCTGTTACATTGCGGTGGTCACGAACGTTTCGCCTGAAAGGATCTCACCTATGGATGCCATGAACAAACGGTCGCGCCGCCGACGGCCGACGACAACGACGACGAAAACGCAAACGACCTTGACCACGACGACGACGACGACGACGGCGACGGTGGCGGCGGCGGCGGCAGCGGCAGCGGCGGCGGCGGCAGTGGCGACGACGAACGGCGACGATGGCCTCGTCTGGCCAATCAAAAATCGGTCCCCGGAACCCCATCCCGAGGTCCATCCTGGCCAGTCTCTCTGGCGAGGAGCGCCATCGATGAGAAAAACAACATTTTTCGTCGCAGCAGGGCAGAAGCAATCCGCACGGGCGCTCGCAGTGGTCGGGGACACTCGACAAGCTAATTATCTGGATGTAGGAGTGGGGCGCGGAAAGGCAGGGCGGCCGCGGAGAGAACGGAAAAGGCATTTTTTGTTGGCCACGGCGGCCAGACCTGTTTGTAAGCGGCTGCCTGGGCAGCCCTTCAGAACAACGCCAGCAAAGGGACCAGCAATCGGCCGCGGACTCATTTCCCAAGGAGGGAGGATGTCCCTTGGCCACTCGCCAGTCCCCCAGGCATTAGTCTGACCCCGACTCCGAATCCACCAGGCGGTTCGGAGTCAGAGGAGCTTCATCTTCCTCGCGCAACGGCAAGTCGGACATGCCCCTCATCCCCACACGGGGGTCAGACACAGCGGAGGTGCCACGCACGGGAGCCTCTGTCATTGCACCAGGCTCCCTGCCCTCCAACAAAACACGGGCTTCGGCTTCCTCAGCCTCGAACAAAGCATCAAAAACTTCGTCTCCTGGTGCAGGGCCCTGCACCCTCGGAGCTTCTTGCTGTCCTCCCCGCCCACCGCTCCCGAAGTCCACCCGCACCCCCGTTTCTCTCTCAGCAATCCTAGCCCTCAGAGGGGCCAGACACGCCAGATGAGACGAGCACGGCGGAATGAGATGAACCCGCGAAGCGGTGGCGAAAGCACGCACAGCAGCTCCTGACGCTGGCCGTTCAGGAGCTGCACAAGACACTGCGACATTGCGCTGAGGGTGGAGGCCTCTCTTGAGCCTACTCAGCACACTGGCACCTGCACTGTGTTCCCTTGGATCACACTTCCCTGCCAGATTACGCACTTTTTCTTGCGAGTAGCTACCACAAAGCATACAAAACACCAGGGGCAGCTCCTCATCACCTACTTGCGTACTAGCTAACTTGTGGCCGTGGGAGGGGGCCTCAGAGAGCAACTTGGTGAGGCTTCTCGAGAGACCCTTACGCCCCACCTCTGGCCTATCTTGGGGGTGTCCCCCATAAAAACTTAAACACTTGGCGCGCCTGTGACCCCACAGCCAGGGTTCCCAGTCGTGCCAGCTCGTTGCGCAATCAATGACCTTGCGCTGGCGCTCACGACGGGGCGGGCGTTGGTGGTGCACCCTAGGAAAACACGGCCACACATTCGCCACAAGGCGGGCGACCGTTTCGAGACTCTCGATCGAACTATCTAACTGCTGCCAGTCGGCGGGCGCGGGCCTGGGATGGAGGTCAAGGGCTCCTTTCGCTTCCCGATCCGCTCGCCAGTTAGCCTGGCCTATCCACCGCTCAGGTGGTGGCAGTTGCTCGATGTCTTCTAACTTTCTATGGGCTGGGGTGTGAACAGCTGGGGCATACTCTTGATTCTTCATATGGAGCAAGGCCCCCCTTCTCAACCCTCCATAACGTTGTTTGGCCGACACTTGACATGACGGTTCCATGTTATGCAGTTTGACGGCATTCATGCAGTGGCTGTATAACGTCGGCCCATGATTTGGCACATATATAGGTAACAAAGCGAGCTGGAGCTGTTCTGCCGCTTGGCTGGTTTGGGGTAGGCTCGGCCACACAACTCCTTTTGCAACGTACCTCTGCACGCCCTCCGCATCAAAGAAAACCCACGAGTACGCCGCCCTCGAGAGTTCTCTGATGGTGTGCCTGGCGCACGACCCATCTCCTGCTTGGAAAAAGGCGGACCCATCAAACTGCTCCCACTCCACTTTTTGCCCACTCATGTCGAAAAGCTCAGGCTCGTGCACATCCGAAAGGTTCGGCCACTCGGCCGCAGGGTGCTGAAACTTGAGGGCCTCGAAAAACTGCGTGTCCCCGCACTGAGCACGCTCGATAAAGGCCGTGGAGACGTCGGCAGCCTGCCTTGCCGCGACGACCTCCTCGTGCTGGCATCTGAAGATCCTGTGGCCTACTGAGTCGGGCTCTTGACGCAGGGGGCAGAGGCCTGGTGTGATGTATCCTGACCGCAAAGCCCTGTCCTCGGTCCAGAGCCCTTCACAAAAACACGCCATCACTAAGTATTT